CGCTTGGACAGGGGGAGGGCGTGACTCATAGCTTCGCGACAGCATCGCGCGACTCCCAGACAGTGCGGGCGAGCTTAGAAACTGCAAAAGCCTCACGCTCAGTAGGCTGGGGGCGTCAGAGAGGGTAGCAGGCGGGTTGGGACAGGGGAGCTTACTGTTAACGTGGAGGGCCAAGGACTAGCCATCCTGGCGCTGACCCTTCAGCTGGCGGCGGAGATCGGCGAGCCATGCCTCAAAGTCGACCGTCCGACCCTCCGCGTCCAGGCGGAGCATAGCGTCCGCCATCACCACAGCAGCAACGGCTGACGATCGCTAGAGGAGGAGGAGTAGGGGGCAGGCAGGTGCTATGGAGAGCGGTGGAGAGCAGTGACGAGTGGTGGAGAGCAGAAGAGAGGGGGATGGAGAGCGGTGGAGAGTGGTGAAGAGCGATGGACAGCAGTGGAGAGCAGTGGAGCCGCGGTAGAGGAGAAAGTCGACAGAAGCACCGGCGCAGAGCGGAACCAGGGTCGGCTGCAAGAAGGGGCTGGCAGTCAGCAGGGGCAGCGCGGAAGCCGGCGCTGATGGCGAACTGGGCAGCGCGGTGAGCTGGGGCCAGCTGCGGGCCGGCGGTGAGCTGGAAGCCGGCGCGAGCTGAGCGGGAGTGCATCCGGACAGTTTTGGCCGAGCGGCTGTCGAGATTTCTTCTCGACAGCAGCTTATTCTTCATAGTTGCTCCCGCGAGTTCCGACTTGGCAGGAAATAGGCAAGACCCACGGCTTTGACTAGGCCAAGATGAGACCGGTAGATGAGGCACATCGCGCACGCATGTTAACCCTGTTGCGGAGAGGGTATAGCACAAGGCGAATCGCGAAGGAGCTTGGCATGGGGAAGAGTACGGTACATGATTCCGGACTCAAGGTTGTAGCAAATTCTAATCGAAAGGACGTGCGTCCTTCAATGCCCACTTCTGGTCGCCCACGCAAAGTCACGGATAGAATTTGTCGAGGGATAGTTAGGGTGATTACTAGCGGCAAGGCGAAAACCTCGATTCACGTTGCCAAAATCGTCGAGTTTGCACGGGACCATGCTGACTGGATGGTTGACGACTGGAAATGAGTGTTCTGGTCGGATGAGACCAATATCAATTGGTTTTGCTTTGAGGGCCGCACGTACGCCTGGGTTCGTGAAGGTACGGCCCTCCAACACCACCAGATCAAGCAACCGTGAAACATGGGGCGGGTGCTTGATGATTTGGGACTGCATGTCGTATGAGGGGGCAGGTTTTATGCGCAAAATGGATGGTAGGATGGACGGGCTGCACTATCTAAGCATACTGCAGGACGAGCTCAAGAATACAATCGACCATTACGAGATTTCCCCCTTGGTCGTAATCTTCCAGCACGATAACGATCCCAAACACAAGTCGCCTATCGTGCAGCAATGGCTTCGAGAGCAGGAGTTTGGGGTGCTGGAATGGCCTTCATCAAGTCCCGATCTGAACCCCATAGGGCATCTATGGGCTCATCTCAAGAGGGAGCTAGCAAAGCATGAGAGGCCTCCCACTAGTATGGTGGACCTGTCCGAGTGGGCCCAGGAGGAATGGGAGAAGATCCCGGCTGATGTGTGCACCAACTTGATCGACAGCATGCCCAGGAGGGTGAAGGCGGTGATTAAGATGAAAGGGCAGTGGGCTAGGTACTAGTTTTGGGTTTTGAGAGCTGCTGCCTGCGCATGGAACTAATTGTCCGGATGTGCCATGATTGTAAATGTCTTGTTTTACTTGTCAACATAAGTAGGTTTTTGAAATGTTAGGCATGGGCTTGTGGCCTTACACTGGCCTACATATAGTGGGTGAGGCGAGCAATTAAGGCTTAATGGGCAAGCGAGCAAGGATACTCAGAGGGCACGCTAGATCTGGGCGAGTGCACGTCATTTGGTGCATGAGGCACCCCACCAGCTCTGCGTATGGACCATTAGGCTCGACCTGCTCACCGAAAACATATGGTGAGAGCTTGTGATCCATATGTAGGAAAGTGGGTTATGCCGACGAGAACTGAAGGTCAAACCTCTGGAGGATCTACTGCACCATGTGAGACTAGGAGAGTGTGACCGTGCGTGCTGCACGATCACGAGAGATCTCCAAGCCCAGATAGTGTCGCAGCTCTCCTAGGTATGTACAGGCATGTCGCTAAGAAACTCGGCCTTCACTAAGGCCTGTGTGACCCTGTCTGGTGTAGCAAAGATGAGATTGTCTACATACACAATAATGTAGAAAGGAGTCTGGCCAGCATGAATGAAGAGCCTGACAAAGAACGGGAAGAACTGGAGAGTCGCGAGTGTAGTGCAGAGCGTGTCGTGCCACTCACGAGGTGTCTTGTGCAGAGAGTAGATAGGGCGACGTAGACTCCGCTGGGTCCCAGGAGCGAAGGACCCGGTGAAGCCTGGAGGGCCCCGCAAGTAGATCTGCTCGTGTAGGCTGCCCTGCGGGAAAGGTGTCGAGAAGGCCAGAGGGTGGAGCTCGTACTCACGGTGTGCGGCTATGTGGAGGAGAACCCGAAGAATAGTCATCTTCAGGGTGGGGGAGAAGGTTTAGACGAAGTCCACACCCTCTCGGTGGCTGAAGCCTCTGGCCATATACCGCGCATGGAAATGCGATGGCTCTCCAGGTACCTTATAGATCCACATGACATCGACTATGTTTATCCTAGGTGGAGGAACTGCGTCGACGTAAGTGCCAGTGGATCTATAAAATGTCATCTTTGCCTCCATTACCTATATCTACTGGGCTGCCTAGAGCCCCGATACCATCTCTGCGTACGAGCGAGGGGTACGGATGTCCACGCGTCCAGTTCACCCTCAAACGGCGGCTACCCTGGCGGCTGTGGCTGCAGTTCCAGCAGCAGCGGCAGCTGTTGTGGCAGCTCTAGCGGCAGCACAGGCGGCTGCAGCTGGCGGCCGCGGCTGGCCGGCGGCAAGCAGCAGGCAGGGCCCATTGGGCGGTGGCGAGCCGCAGTTGTCGGAGGCAGCGCGAGCGGTGGCGGGCAGCGGCAGACAGCGACGGACGGTAGTAGCAGGTGGCCAGCGACAGGCGGCAGGCGGCCAGCGGCAGCGGCAGATGGTAGTGGCAGGCGGCAGCGACGAGCGGCAGCGGCGATCGGCAGGCAGCAGTGGTGAGCGACAGGCGGCCAGCGGTAGGCGGCAGCGGCAAGTGGCAGTGGTGAGCGGCAGGCGGCAAAGGTGAACGGTAGGCGGCCAACGGCAGGCGGCCAGTGGCGAGCGGCAGGCAGCCAGTGGTAGGCAGCCAGCGGTAGGCAGCCAGCGGCAGGCAGCCAGCGGCAGGCAGCCAGCGGCAGGCGGCTGGCAGGCGGCGGGTAGGCGAAAGCGGCAAGCGGTAAGCAGCGTGCAAGCTCGCACGCAGCACAGCGCGGCGGGCAGCGCGCGGCGCGAGCAGGGAGGCGGCGGGCAGCCAGCGGGCAGCGTGAGCGCGAGCTAGGGCTTGGGCGCAAGCTAGGGCGGTAGACTAGGGCGCAGGCTACGGCGGTAGGCTAGGACGAGAGAGGAGCGGGGAGAACTTAGGGCCTCACCTAGCGATGATACCAAATCAGAATAAGAGAATGAATTGAGAAGGCACATGCAGGACATGGTTGCTATATGAGTATTGTACCCTTTATAGTCTGCCCTAGTTAGCCTACATGACATTTATATACGTATGCTAGTAGGTGCTCCGAAAGCGTTGAAGGTGTCGTGGCACTGGGATAACCCTGTCGATCCTCTCTCTCTCTCTCTAAGGAGGGTGCTGGGGAGGCTTTTGTCAAAAGACTAGCTAGGAAGAAAGGCAGCCATGAAATGGCGTGAGGGTTTAGGAGCTCGAGAAACTAGGAGAGCAAGTTGACTAGGAGAGAAAAGAGATGGAACTAGAAAGAGAGAGGGATGCAAGGAGGGGATTGTACCCTCTACAGTAGAGTTTGATAACCTACCAAGCCTACAAATTATATAATACAATATATAATTTAACACACCCCCTAGGCTTGGTAGTCACAAGCCCACACACACCCACACCCCTGACCTAGCACCCCCATTCCAAGCATCAGCCACGTCTACTCCGGTGGGGCCAGCCCCCACGGCCTGTGAGATGGCAATGGCGGCAACCACGACAGTGACGAGAGCGGCGGCGGCAATGGCCTACTGCAACGGCGGCGGCGGCGGCGGCTTCAACACCAGAGGCGACTGCAGCGGCCCCCGCCCTCTCGGCGGCACGTCCAAACTCGACGGCGATGGGGTCCCCCACGCGCCAGGCGTAGGCTGTGGCGAGGAGGAGGGGACGCAGGGGAAGGAGGGCAGCTGGCGTGCGGGCGGCGGCAGCGTCACAGGCGTCGCGCGGTCGGCTGCAGCTCGACGGCGCCGTCACAGAGCGGCGTCGATGCCGCAGCGGGACGTTGACGCTGCGACGGCAGCCTGACGGCGCCGTCACGCTGCCACGGCTGGACGCCGACGCTATAACGGCGCGACGCCACGGCCGCGCGTCGAGACGGCCGCGACACGACACCGACTGTGCCGTCACGGCTGTGTGCTGCGACGGCCGCACCAAGAGCCGCCGTGGCATCTCGGAGAAGCTGCCACAGCGGCACGAAAACGGAAGGCCGCGACGGCGGCGAACGAAGAACGGGTACGTGGCGGAAGCGTGGGGAGCAGGCCCAGGAGAAACGACTCGCTCTGAAACCATGTCAAAAGACTAGCTAGGAAGAAAGGCGGCCATGAAATGGCGTGAGGGTTTAGGAGCTCGAGAACTAGGAGAGCAAGTTGACGAGAGAAAAGAGATGGAACTAGAAAGAGAGGGATACGAGGGGATTGTACCCTCTACAATAGAGTTCGATAACCTACCAAGCCTACAACACAATATATAATTTAACAGCTTTCCCCGGGGAAGGTGGCTATATGGAGCCTAAACCCTCCTGGTGACATCCCTCCTTGTCCCAGTGGTTAGGAGGACTGATGACTTTATGACTGAAGGGTCATGCACATAAATATGGTCACATCACATTAAACAGCGTTTGCATATGCTGTAGGCACATCTGTCTTCATAAGATAACATATATACTCTGACATGAAAGTTTATTGATAGCTGCCATCAAGGCCTTGTTTTCTATCTTCTTCTCCAAATCTCCTACTAATGGACTCCAGCGTTGTGGCCACAGTTGGGATGTCAGCTTCAACAGTGTCATAGCAGCCCCCATGGCTGAATATGAGATGGTAGGTAAGCGTGCATGCGTACGATAGGTGGTTGTAACACACAATCTCGCACCCGTCGGGTCTGATTTCGAGCACGGACGCCTTTTCCGGCATGAAGATAACGTTGGTGAGGGCAGCCCCATGGCCGGCTATGAATAGACGCGTCCGCCGGAACAAATCCCGAGCTGGCAGGAGGGATGGAGAGGGGAAGGGAGATGGGAGAGAAACAATGGGGATGACATTGGTGAGGGCAGCTCCATGGCCGGCCATGAAGAGACGCGTGCACCGGAACAAACCCGGGCTGAATGGGGTTGGATTTGGAGAGGAAGAGAAGGATTTGTGAGCAATGAATAGCGTGCAAGGCCTTATAGGAAAGGCGGGATTCTTTGTGCATAAAGTTGCATGGAAAAATAAGAATAAAAGGTAGTGGAAAAGCAGCAGTACCTTCTAGTATTGAGAGTGAGCCATTGAAAACCACAATTCTCTCCCTTGGGAACATTCTCTCTACCAGCTGCTCCACCTCGTTGAAGTTTGTAATGGATCGCTTCTTAACGGGTCGCTTGGCCACCACCACCACCCAATCAGGGGGAAGGGCCTGCGCCTGTGCCGCAGTGAGGGGAGACAGGGCCCGATAGGTCCAGTTGGGATGGAAGAGGGGGATCCCCTGCGGGTGCAGCAGGTGGCGCCGGCGCAGCATTGTCCATAAGGAGTGGGAGGGACGGCCACAGTCCTGCAGCATGGGCTGGGGTGGGGAGGAGGGGGGAGGAGGGGGCAGGGGGAGGGGAGGGGAGGGGACAGAATACGTAAGCTAAACGATATAAGACAGCCCTATGCATGGATAAAGGGTGACGGCACACTGCACTGCATGGAATCAGACAGTAAAGGGTACAGGATATGATAGACAGTAGATAGTCTGGGTAACGGGAGGCAGTACATTACAGTGCAGGAAACAACTCTACTGTACACTGTATATTGTATTCTGTACACAATATAATGTGTACTGTATACGACAGTAGACTGGAGTGTACCTGGTAGACTGTGTCAACATGGAACAGATTGCCAGACTCACCAGGTAGGGCTCTCATGCAAATGAGTAGACCACTGCAGCGCGAAAGTCGGTATAAAATCAGACACCAAGGTTACGAGAAAGATCGTATAGACAAGGACACCGCTATTACCTGGTAGACTGTGTCAACACGGAAAAGATCGCCAGACTCCACAGGTAGGGCTCTCATGCTTCCCCTCTCCACACCGATTAGTGCCGCCCCCACTCGGTCGTACATCCGCCACTGGAGGGACGAGGGGAGGAGGGGAGGAGGTGAGGAGGCGAGCTGACTTTTAAGTCGCCTCAGAATGGAAGGGAAGGGGGTTCTCAAAATGTACCTGCTTGAGACGAGCCAGGATGGGCGTTTCCTTGAGAATGGATGGCAGCAACAAGACAAGGGAGGGCGAGGGGAGGGCGAGGGGAGGGAAAGGGGAGGGAAAGGGGAGGGAAAGGAGAGGGAAAGGGGAGGAAAAGGGGAGGGAAAGGGGAGGGAAAGGGGAGGGAAAGGGGAGGGAAAGGGGAGGGAAAGGGGAGGGAAAGGGGAGGGAGAGGGGAGGGAGAGGCTGTACCTGGCCCAGGCGAGCGAGGATGGGCGGGTCCTTGAGAGTGGATGGCAGCACCGAGACAAGGGCAGAGCAAGCGCAGGTCAAGGGCAGGGCAAGGGCAGGGCAAGGGCAGGGAAAGGGCAGGGCAAGGGCAGGGCAAGGGCAGGGCAAGGGTAGAGCAAGGGCAGGGCAAGGGCAGGGCAAGGGCAGGGGCAAGGGCAGGGCAAGGGCAGGGCAAGGGCAGGGCAAGGGTAGAGCAAGGGCAGGGCAAGGGCAGGGCAAGGGCAGGGGCAAGGGCAGGGCAAGGGCAGGGCAAGGGCAGGGCAAGGGCAGGGCAAGGGCAGGGCAAGGGCAGGGGCAAGGGCAGGGCAAGGGCAGGGCAAGGGCAGGGGCAAGGGCAGGGCAAGGGCAGGGCAAGGGCAGGGCAAGGGCAGGGCAAGGGCAGGGCAAGGGCAGGGCAAGGGCAGGGCAAGGGCAGGGGCAAGAGAAGGGCAAGGGGAGGAAAAGGCTGTACCTGGCCGAGTCTAGCCAGGATGGGCGTGTCCTTGAGAATGGACGGCAGCACCGTCGACGCCACGAGGAACGACGGCAGACCCTCGATGAGGAAGTGGTAGAAGTTCCCTCCGGGGCCGTACGCCCAGTTGAACACCGCCGGTACGCGGTGCACCGGGTGCGACGCCGGGAAACGCGCTTCGCTCGCGAGCCGCGCGCAGCCGTTGTGGACGAACTGGTGCGATGCGTTGAAAACGAAGCCCTTCTGGCTGACGTACACGTGGCGCAATCTGAACACCTGCAGAGCCGTTGGATCGCGCGGGTTGAAATCTTGCTTGTGCGAGCAGGTTTTGTCCCGCCCGCTGTAGGGCCGCGCGGGCAGTTCGAAAGTTTCGGACTTCGGGCAGTTCACCGGCGCGGGGAGAAACACCTGCCCCAAATCTTCCATCCCCGGATTCCAGCACGCTTCGACGTTTGGAGAAGTGTGGTAACCACCACCACCGTAATCGCTACCGTTACTATCACTGTCTCTGTCACTGTCACTGTTGCTGTTACTGCAGCTGCCGAAGCTTGGGCACGGGGGCCCGTGGCAGGATAGCTTCAGCCCGTACCGCTCGTTAGGCTCGTGAAACCCGAGCATCACGTTCGTCAGATTCCGCGCATCCAGCGCGAATCCCAGCCGTTCGATGGGGATATTCGAGCGCTCTGGGTGGTTCCTGGAAGGAGGAGTCAAGCAAGAGCGCGCGGCGGCGGGAAAAGTGGGAAGAAGAAAGGAAGGACACGTGTCGTGAGTAATGAGTCTGCTTTTGAGTCGACTCAAAAGCGGACACGTGTAGTGATATTGAGTCAATAACCAACGGGAGAAATCAGGGGACGATCGCGCAACGGCTTCGATGTCATCTAACCAACGGGGAGAAATCAGATGAGTTTTGAGACGACTCAAACACAACAGTATGCGGCATCGCGTCCGTTGGGCTACGGTGATACTGAGGTGTGCTTTGAGTCGACTCAAAACACGATCGCGCAACGGCTTCGACGTCATCTAACCAACGGGGAGAAAGAAGCGAGGGTAATCATCGTCCAACGGCAGTGGTTACTGCTATGAGGCGCAGCCCACGGACCAGGCAGTACCTGATCTCCTCTGGGAGGTCGTATTCGAGCTGCCTGCCACTCGGTGTGACCTGAAAATGGCCGCACTAGCCCTTCGCACCAGCAAACACTCGCCACGCCATCCGCCCGTGCTTTGTGACGCCTCAAACGTAGTACCTGATCTGTGAGTCGACTCAAAAGGTGATTTTTGAGTCGACTCAAAAAGCAGTACCTGATCTCCTCGGGCAGGTAGTAGTCGAGCTGCCCCTCGAAAGTCTCCACGCGTCCCACCAGCGACACGCGATTCACCCGCGCACCGCCGGCGCCGTCTACAGAAGGCAAGGGAAAGAGTCGAGAGAGTCGAGAGAGTGAAGAGAGTCAAGAGAGTCGAGAGAGTCGAGAGAGCGCGGATTTACTAGAGAAGCCTTCGAGAAGAGGTTCGCCCTCATTCACGATCTGCTGGGCGGAGAGAGTCGCACAAGAGTCGAATAGCGGAGGGAGACGCGTAGGCGTTTGTGGAAATGAGGAATGGCGGAGGAAAAAGACAGAAATAAAAGGTTCCGGGAGATCCGACATCTGTCGGTTGAGATCAAAGGGGCATTTTTACTTCTTCTGATCGACGGTCGGCATTTCTAAGTTGGCCCGGTTAATTACCTGATTTACAGACGGCGGGAGTGAGGCGGAGGACGAAGCATGCGAGCACCATAAGTGACAACGCTGGAAATCGGTTCTGCGACATGGGGGCCCTGCGGTGCCGCACCGGGAGAACCATGATCACTGCCAGCTGCTACTTAAAATACACTGCCAGCTACTATACTAGTAGGTACGCCAGGCCAGGCAGCGTAGTGCCTAAGCGCGCTGTGTCGGGTGTATTCTGTGTCGCGTGTAACTCGAGTCGACTCAAAATACAACGCCAGTTGCTACTGGTAGAACCTATGCAAGGCCAGGCAGCGTAGTGGCTCACTGAGTTGACAGTCCGTGCGCTTTTTTAGAATTCTCGGAAATGAGTTCACAGTCGGTGCGCTGCGTCGGAAGGATGGAGGGGAGGGTGTACTTCTGGCGTCAGCAGTTCTTTCGTGCCGTCGTCCGGCTATTACTATATTAGGCTTGAGACGTCAGGAAACGCGGCAGTATTTCTGTCCTGCCGTCTTGCTATGATTACAAGATGACGAGGTTCTGACAACTAATTCGGATACTGTAATCTGATTCCTCCTAAATCCTCTGGGATGAAGAGCTTTCCCCAAGGAATTACAAGATGCCGAACTTCTGGTAACTGCAGGAATGTAGGACGAGGAACTGCAGGAGGACCAATTTTCGCCGTTCCCAAGAAAATGCTTGCAATGGCAGGAGCAGAGCAGCAGTAGCTGTAGCAGCAGTACACCGGGTGTCCAGGGAGTCTCGGAAAATTGACCGGGCCCATCCCCCAACATGCGCCCATCCGCCACCAATCACGGGCAACGGTCCTTTCACCTGATGGCCCATTCACCCGAGTTTTGTGGCACCTGCGACACGGCGGCAGCGAAAGTGTCCATGCAAAGGAGCTCGCGAAAGCACAATTGTCCACTTAATGGCCCATTCTCCCGTGGCGAAGGTCGACGAAAAATGTGCGCGTATTACGCCAAGCGGGTTCGTCGAAATCGAGGCTATTGGATGCGCACCCGGTGTACCTGCAGCAGCAGGAAAGGGTATGGGGCGCCCAACTGGAGGATGGAGGAGAAGCTTTTGAGCAAGCGGCAATGATGGCGAGAGGAATTCTGGGAACCATGCGAAACGAGCCGTGCAGGAAGGAGCGCGTGTCTGCATTTTCCGGTCAGAAAGGGATTGTGCTCAGTAGTGGTAAGCGGGGTTGAAGGGGTATCGAAGACGCTCCACCAGCAGGGAGAAATTGTTTTGCGTCAAATGGCAGTCAGTCAATCTACTACTCACCATCCAAAGGAGACTGCAAGACTAGGTTGGAAAATCTTATGTAACAGTAGAGGGACACATTTCACGAAGGAAAAAGTCGCTTTACGTGTGGTGTGAATACCGTTCGGGGAAATTGATTTGCGACACCACTGAAAATTACAGGGGATTCGAGATTTCCTGCACCTGCGAGAAATGTGGCAGGTGTGAAGAAGCGGAGGATCTGCCGTGACACCGTCAAACCTGAGAGAGATGCGGGGCGGGCAGGTTGGATCGCGCGACCTGACCGACCAGCTGCCCTTCCCAACCTGCAATGCAACCATTCGTTTCCACCTGAACAACAGCCTATCAGGTTGACCTGAGCTGCAGATCTTACACTGTCCGTTACAACAGGAAACTAGTGGCTTAGCTCCCAAAAAAGAACAGTTGATGATTCTTAGACAGAACAGGGCATCAAGTATTCTCGAAGTACTGAAGCTATTTATTAGGCAACATAAGTGACAACCAATTTAGTATAAGCCACATCATTGCCTAAGGCATGCTCGTGTTAGACAACAAGAATGCACTAGTACGGCAACAGAGCATAGTCTATGCCACATTTGCGGCCACAGGCTGCTCGGCATATTTGAGGGAGCGCGTCGTTTCAAAGAAGTGCAAGACGCTCTCCTCGGGAGTCCCCACCAACACGCCATGGCCCAGGTTGAGAATGTGGCCCCGCGAACCCGCCTTGGCCACACAGCTGTGAGAAGGGGATATGGATGGAAGAAAATGCAAGACTGGTGTGTGTGTGCCACTCAGTACTGTCTCCTGGAGCCCCCACCAACACACCATGATCCAGGTTGAGAACACGGCCCCACAGACTCGCCTTGGCCACACAGCTATGAGGGGGACATGGATGGGATGGGAAGGCAGAGAGGGCATGGGATGGACGGGAGAAGCAGGGCGAGGTGGGATGGTAGAGGGGTGGGGATGAGAAGGGAAGAGAAGGTAAGGGATGGAAGGGCGAAGTTCAAAGGGCAGGCAATGGTGGAAATGGAAGATGAGGGCATCACATTTCTATGAACATGGGTTTTTAAGAACTCGTGTTCGAGCAACTGCTTTCGCAGAACTTCGCGAGGGGCGAACATGCTAACGAACACCAAAATGAACATGGGGGGAATTGGTCTTTAGGGTGTGTTTTTTTTGGGGGGGTGGGAATTTCCGGATTGTCGCGACACTTTGATGAGCGTTGTGAAAATGGTTACTCTCGCAAAAACTTGGTGTTCGCTTCATGTTCATGAAATTGTGACGCGCTAGCAAGGGAACCAAACAAGCAGTTGAATCTTGGAGCACGCACACCAGGTCACCACCACAACATAGCATTTGTGGTGCCATTTCTGATGATCCTATTGCACTAACAGCATAGCGTTGCTGGTGCCATTTCGTAATGATCCTATAGCACTCACCGGTTGATAGCGTCTGTGATGGCATCCTCGCAGGCAAACAGCACAGCCGGGTCCACATTCCCCTGCACAGCCAGGAGTGCCCTCTTTCCCCCTCCCCCCCCCAAGGCTAGCCCTCACTACCTCTGTGATTCCCCCATGTTGCTCACCGGTTGATGGCGTCTGTGATGGCATCTTTGGAAAAAAAACAGCATAGCGGGATCCACATTTCCCTGCACTGACAGGCATGGCTTCTCCTCCCCCACCCCCCAGGCTAGCCCTCATGGCCTCTGAATTCCCCATGTCACTCACCGGTTGATGGCGTCTGTGATGGCATCCTTGGAGGCAAACAGCACAGCGGGGTCCACGTTCCCCTGCACCGACAGGCGAGGCTTCTCACTTCCACCAGGGCTAGCCTTGAGTGCCCCGTCAATCCTCGCGCGAGCATCCGCCATGTCGATGGTCCAGTCCACCCCGATGACGTCAGCCCCAGTGGTGGCCATGCGCTCCATGAGGCCCCCGCTGCCATTGGCGTAGAGCACCACGGGGACTGTGGGGTGCTTCTTCTTCAGCTGGGAAATGACCTGATCGGTGGATGGGTGGGTGGGAAGCAGTGGGATTTGGAGGTTACAGCATGGGAAAGTGATAAAGGGGAAAAAGAACCTTCAACACCGCCCTTTAAAGCGACGTGCCAGTCCACCCCGATGATGTCAGCCCCAGTGGCGGCCATGCGCTCCATGAGGCCCCCACTGCCATTGGCACACAGCACCACCAGGACTGTAGAATGCTGCTTCAGCTGGGGAGTTAGGGAGATGGATAGATGCAGCACGGTTTTGGGGTTTTAAACTGTAAAGGCGATTGCCAAATCCAAATGGAACTGTCAGGTGCTTGCAGTTTCACCTGAGAAAGCTACTTTTGAGGCGCCTAAAAAACCTACTTCTGAGGCGCCTCAGAAACAAATCCAATGGGAACCGTCAGGTGCTTGCAGTTTCACCTGAGAAAGCACTGACAGCCTGTCGCAGGCAGAGGATGCAATCTCAAGTCTCTGCCAGCACGAGACAACAGGTGTCTTTTTCTTTGGTCAGGTGTTGCCAGGTCTCCCACTAGGTAGGTGAAGAAGTCTCTAGGCCAGTGGTGAAGCCGTGGCAAGGTACATACAGGTGTGCGCCCCATGAGTACGTACCTCTCATCTCAAAGATGTATGGCTTGGCCGACTCGTTCTACTAGTCCGAAGGCAGCTGCCTGCCCGCCCCACGAGTCAAACACCTGGACGCAGTGCAGTGCACTGCAGCCATGTGACTGTTGATGCATCTCAACCAGGGTACAGCTGCTTGCCCCATGATGTATGCAGTAACCTCGCCTCTACACTGTATGGCTGGGCCCACTCGTCCCACTGGTGCGGAGACCGCTGCCCGCTCCACGAGTCATACGTTCATTTCCCAGAGAGTACATTCTAACAACAATAATGTAACATTACAGTGTAACTTCATAGTCTCACCTCAATAATGTACATTACGCTGTACCTTTATAGTCTCACCTCAATAATGTACATTACGCTGTACCTTTCTAGTCTCACCTCAATGATGTACGGCTTGGCCCACTCGTCCCACTGGTCGGGTGGCAGCTGCCCGCCCCACGAGTCGAACACCTGGATGCACTGCGCGCCCGCGTCCACTTGGAAGGCCGCATATGTCGCAATCTCATTGGCCAGGTGTTGCAGCAGCGCCCGCAGCACGTCCGGCGCGCTGTGGATCATGCCCTTGATCTTGGTGTACGTGCGCGTGGTGCCACCCTCCACGCAGTAGGTGGCCAGAGTCCAGGGGGCGCCCACAAAACCGAGGAGAGCAGCAGTCCCTTCGATCTGGGGGAGACAGTGGGCAGGGGAAGGGTGGGGGAGGACGGGGATGAGGAGAGGATAGGAGCAGCACGCGCAGCACGTCCGGCGCGCTGTGGATCATGCCCTTGATCTTGGTGTACGTGCGCGTGGTGCCGCCCTCCACGCAGTAGGTGGCAAGAGTCCACGGGGCGCCCACGAAGCCCAGGAGGGCTGCCGTGCTCTCGATCTACCAGAGACGGACCAGAAAATGGGGGAGGGGGGGAAGGGGGGAGAGGAAAAATAAGAGCTGTGGCGCGCGCTATGACCTTGATCTTCGTGTACGTGCGGGTTGTCCCGCCCTGCCCCCCGATTCACCAACACTCCGCCCCACCCACCTCTTTCCGGATCTGCCTCAGCGACTCGTCCACGGGCAGCTTATCCAGCTGCACGGGCGTCAGCGCCTTGAGGGCCTTTCACCACGGTACCTCTCCCCCCTCCCCCCTCCCGCACAACTCCCCCCTCTCCCCTCCCGCTCATCTCCCCCCCACCACCGTTTCCCCACCAGTCCTCCCTCCGACCCACCTCTTTCCGGATCTGCCTCAACGAGTCATCCACGAAATGCAGCTTATCCAGCTGTACGGGCGTCAGCGCCTTGAGCGCCTCCGTCGTCCTAATGGGGCTGTCTATAACGGGGCCCTTGTTCTCGTCGATCTCGAACGGAATACCCATCGCATCCAGCGGCGTCAGAATGTCCGAGAACAGAATAACGCCGTCGGGGCCAAACGCGCGCCACGGCTGAAGGGTGATTTCCACGATGAGGTCCGTCGTTTCGGAACGTTCGCGGAAGGAGGGGTGGCGCTTCGAGAGCTGCTGGTAGGCCGCCATGTAGCGCCCCGCTTGGCGCATCATCCACGCAGGGGGGCGGGGGATGGCCTCCCCGCGCGCCGCGCGCACCAGCAGGGGCTCGTCGGCTGCCAAGGAAAAGAGGGAAGGCAGGAGAGGGTTGAGGCGTCTCAAAGGCCGCGGGGGGAACCCACCCGCGGCTCGTCAGCTTGGCGCATCAACCACGCGGGCGGCCGCGGAATGGCCTCCCCGAGCGCTGAGCTCACCAGAATGGGTTCCTCAGCTGGGGGGTTGGGGTTTTTGGTGAAAAGGGGGTTAGAAGGGAAAATGGGGTTAGAAGGGAAGAGGGGGAGGGGGGGGGAGGGGGGGGAGGGGAGGAGGGGGGTTTCTGGCCATGCAGCGCCCCGCTTGGCGCATCATGGCCTCCCCGCACGAGGCACTACAGGAGACGGATTGACTTTCAGGGAGTAAGAATGGAGCAATGCAGTTATCACTCTCCCATACCTGAAGCCCTAGGCAGCTCGCCTCTGCGAGGCAATGCAGGAGACGGATTGAATTCCAGGGGTTAAGAATGGAAGGATAGTTGTACGCTCTCCCCTACCTGAGGCCCTACGCTGAACAGCCCGCCTCTGCGAGGCAATGCAGGAGACGCATTGGGTCTTGCCGAGTGGATTTTTTTTTTAAGAATTCTCAATGGAGACGGACCGGGTCGTGCGGGCTCGGCAGGCAGCGCCATGGAGCTCGGAGCCCGCGAAGGACGCGCCGGACTTTGCGCCTTGACAGCTACCAATCTCCCTTACCTGCAGCTCTCGGCTGGACAGCCCGCCTCTGCAAGGCAGTAGGGGAGTATTAGCTAATACTTTCCCTTACCTGATGCCCGAGGCCGCACGGCCCGCTTTTGCGAGGCATTGCAGGCGACGGACTGAGTCGTGCGGGTTCGGCAGGCAGACCCGTGGAGCTCGGAACCCGCGAAGGACACGGCGGACTTAGCGCTGGTGGCTGCCGCTGGCAACCGGGATGATTGCGCGACGGTGCTGACGTGGTTCTGCACGCTGGTGGGACAAAGGCAAGATGGGAGAACAGGAGCGGAAATGCAACAGCTCACAGTTTTGAGATGACTGAAAACACGACAGCTCATGATCCTTGTTTCGTTACATCTGTGCGAAAGTGGAGAGGCGACTGGGTAGGGCAAATGTCTGGATATTGAGAAGAACGATAGCGAGTGGCCACTTGCTCTCAAGATTCGAAAGGTTGTAGTTGTTCTGAAGAGCGATAGCGAGTGGCTACACACGATTCACTCCAATTCTGACCATTGCATTGCTACATTCTAGGCGGTCCGCTCTCCCACTCCGTCTAATGAGCACAAACGGAGGCGTTGATCGAGAGGGTATACACGGAATCTCTCGCGCTCTAATGAACAGATGACTTCTGGTCGACTCATAAGTCATTTTGCATACTAATGAACGGGAACGTACAGCTGAGCGGTCGCTGTGGAGGCCATGGCTCCAATTTAAACGACAAATCGAGAAACCTCCCGTTTACAGCGACGCAAGTCAGACTCAGGCAAGCCGATCTTGCCACAAGCCACGGTGCGGAAATACTTGGATCAGGCGGAGTGCCTGGTCTGGTGCTAAGAAACAAGCTTCCTGTGGCTACCTGCTTCTGAACACATGAGGGAGAAACTAGAAATGGCTTCAACAATTTCTGGCTTCCGCGGAAATCCCCAAGAAGAGGCTGAATTCGGATTTCCCTAATCAGCCAGCAAGGCTGATGATCGGCTAGGTGCTGATGAAATTGGACCAGAATCCAGTAGGGAATGGCGCGGCCCACGACGCTGACTAGGCTAGATTGGCTGGGCCGTGATGACGTGGATTATCAAGCTCCTATTTGGCAGCGTGATTGCCTCGCGGTGGAGCCTGAGCCTGGATTGTTCCTCCAAATTCCAGGAATTTAGGACAAGGCAAGATTGTGTGTACACGGAGTTATTTGCAACTTCGCTACTAGATTGAACCATTCCCTAACTTGTTGTGGGTAATGCGCAATTCTATATCAGGAGAAATGAAAATAAACGTTTCCCCTTAGCTAAATGAGGAAAGTAATGAAAAGTCGAGTTACAAGTTTTAAGAGGTCAAAGCCCTATCTTTGTGCCCAGTCTCGTCGCTGATTATGATCTCATTGCTCAACATCTCTATGTTCATGCACCAAAGGCGTCCACACTGGGATTCGAAAGGAACGCCGAAATCATGTCGCTAAACGTTACGACACCCGTGGGACACCCATCTTGATCCACCACCCACACGCGGTGGTTCCGGTGAGCCAATGCTTGCGCCATGGCCGCACAGAGGTTGCTGCCTGGCTTGCACTTGCTCACCGGCCTTAGCTGGCCAACGTTATAAGGAGAAACAGCAGACAAAGCTGCAGCAGGATTAGCAAAAGCACCGCCAGTGTCTGCCTTGTCCTCCTTCACCTGCTGCTGCTCTAGCGGCTGCAGCAGTCTCATCTTCTCTCCTTTCTCTCTGCTCCTCCAGTACCTCTCGGTAGCCGGCACTGCCAGCAGCAGCTGGTGCACCGTCATCGCACGCAGATACTGGGCGGCAAACTGCGCAGTGCAGCCACGCAGATCCACACTCGACAGCTGGCCCACGAGCTTGCCGTTGGGGTAAGAGTCGTATTGGCTGGTGTTTGACTTCTGGGCGGCAGCAGAGCTGGCAGGTCCAAGGGAGGGGTCTACAACGGCTACTGCGCTGACGTCACCTGGAGGGGAGGGTGGGAAAGGAAGGGGGTGAGGGGCAAGAGGCAGAGGAGATGAGTGAGACGAAGGGGGGAGATGAGAGGAAGGGCATTTTTTAGAATTCTCAAAAATACCCTGCAAACTCAAGAGTAGGGGGCGAACTGCCCAGTTCAGCTGCGCAGATCCACACTCGACAGCTGGCCCACGAGCTTGCTGCCGGCATAAGAGGCGGATTGGCTGGTGGGTGATTTCTTGGCGGCAGCAGAGCTGGCAGGTGGAAGGGAGGGGTCTACCACTGCTAGAGCGTTGATGTCACCCGGGGGAGAGGGGAGGTTGAGAAATGGAAGAGAGATGAGCGAAAGCCTGCCTTTGAGTCGACCAGAAGCAAATGGAGGAGAGATGAACGTTGGCCACGGGCTTGGAAGAGGGGAGCAGATAGAAGAAAGCAAAAATGCACCGCAACACGGGAGTAGCGAATCGATGGCCTGAGTGTAGGTCACAAAGCAGTAAGCGCAAGTGGAAACCACCAACAAACAAATCCTCTCCCTCCCTCCCCTCCCATTCCCCCCTCCCCCCCCTTTTCCCCCCCTCCCCCCCCGTTCCCCCCCTCCTCCCCCCTCCCTCCCCCGACCCCCCAAACATACACACCTGCAGAGGATTGCAGCAGCTGTAGCGCCCCATACGCATTGTCGAAACACTATCCCTATTCTCCCTCCCCACATCTTCCTCGCTCCCCCCCCCTCCCCCCACCAATCCGGCCCCCATTTCCTCCCCCCTCCGCACATCCACTCACCAGCGGACGACTGCAGCAGCTGCAGCGCCTCATACGCATTGTCAGAGCACTTGACAGTGACAATCCGGGGGTGAATGAGCCCTAAATCGAGGAGGCTTCTAGAGGGTACAGGCTCCTGCTGAGGCGCCCTGTCAAGCAGCCACCTTGCCACGTCAGTCTGAGTCAGCACGCAGAAATGCGGGCAGAAGAACTTTCGGGAGGGCGAGCAGCTGCCTCCCGGGCAGCGGAAGCAGGGGGAAGGGGAGGAGTGGTGGAGAGCGGTGGTGGTGGGTACAGCGTGGGTAGTGGTGGTAGGGCCGATGGTGGAAGTGGTAGGGGCGGTGGTATAGGCTGTAGGGGTGACAGTTGTGTGTGCTTCACTTGTATTTCTCCTCCCAGACCTCTCCTCCTCCTCCCTCTCCTCGTCTTCTTCACACGAGTAAGGCGTGTTACATTCTGAACGTGCAGTGTTCCCTGTTTGTTGCATTTCGTGAGGCTCCTTATAAGGGAGTGCGTCAGGAACCCCTTGCAGGTGCTCTAAAGCGAGGGAGGTGACACTAGGGAGAGTGCTACAAGGGGGGGATTTGCAGGGTTGGTGAGAGGGATTGGAGAAGAGTGAGTGAGGGGAGGTGAGTGTGGTGGTGGTGGTGGAGGGAGTGAGAGAGGGAGTGAGGGAGTGGGAGGTGAAGGAGGGGTGGGAGAAGAGGGAGGAGGAACTCGAAGCAAGTGAGTGGAGGGAGGAGAGAGAGGAATTAGGAGTGGAAGAGACAGAGGTATGGGGTAGGGAGGAGGAGGGAGGAGAGGAGGGAGAGGGGGAGAGGTGAGTAGAGGAATCGGAGAAATGGGGAGCTTGAGATGGGAGAGAGCGAGGAGAGGAGGACTGGGAGAATCTTGAGGGAGAGTGAGAGGGGTGTGAGTGAGAGGGGTGTGAGTGAGTGTGGAGTGAGTGAGAAGAGGGTGCTGCTACTGATTTAGGTTCTTGTCGAGGGGAGGCGGAGGGGGAGGAGGTGGAGGTGGAGGTGGAGGTGGAGGAGGAGGAGGAGGAGGAGGAGGAGGAGGAGGAGGAGGAGGAGGAGGAGGAGGAGGAGGAGGAGGAGGAGGAGGAGGAGGAGGAGGAGGAGGAGGAGGAGGAGGAGGAGGAGGAGGAGGTGGAGGAGGAGGAGGAGGAGGAGAAGGAGGTGGAGGAGGAGGTGGAGGAGGAGGAGGTGGAGGAGGAGGAGGTGGAGGAGGAGGAGGAGGAGGAGGAGGAGGAGGAGGAGGAGGAGGTGGAGGAGGAGGAGGAGGAGGAGGAGGAGGAGGAGGAGGAGGAGGAGGAGGAGGAGGAGGAGGAGGAGGAGGAGGAGGAGGAGGAGGAGGAGGAGGAGGAGGTGGAGGAGGAGGAGGTGGAGGTGGAGGAGGAGGGGAACAGGGACGAGTGGCGGGTGTGGATGGGCACTATGAGTCGCTGCACGCCCTGCGCCATGGGGCACATGATGCTGCTGATGCTGATGGGGGGAAAAGAGCAAGGCGAAAGGGAGTGCGAGGAGAACGGGAGCACGGAGAGGGTTAAGCGAGGGGAGCACCGTTGGTGACGGCATCTCCATGCGCCTTGCGGCACCATGATGCTGTGAATGCTGTTGTACGGGGGGAATCGGGGATGGGGGAGAGGAAGGAGAGAGGGAAGGGAAAATGTCACCTGCACCACGGTGCGAGTAACTGGTGGCCAAAATATGATGCTGCATAAGCGGAAAAGGGCAGGAAGGGGTCACAATAGGCTTAGTGATGAAAAAAAGCACGAGAATATGGCGGGGACAGGTTTCCCTTCGCTGTATATATTGACCAGTGGACGGCTTACGAGGCATGGAGGTCTGTAAGCAGCAGCGCCAGCCCTTCCTCCTCCTCACCCGCACCAGCTGCCCCACTGGTGTTCGTATCTCCAACGACTCCAAGAAAATAGGACAGTTGGTGCTGTTTTAGAGGCGCCTCAAGAATCCAAGAAAATAGGACAGTTGGTGCTATTTTTGAGGCGCCTCAAGAATCCAAGAAAATAGGACAGTTGGTGCTATTTTTGAGGCGCCTCAAGAATCCAAGAAAATAGGACAGGTGGTGCCATTTTTGAGGCGCCTCAAGAATCCAAGAAAATAGGACAGTTGGTGCTATTTTTGAGGCGCCTCAAGAATCCAAGAAAATAGGACAGTTGGTGCTATTTTTGAGGCGCCTCAAGAAACCAAGAAAATAGGACAGTTGGTGCTATTTTTGAGGCGCCTCAAGAATCCAAGAAAATAGGACAGTTGGTGCTATTTTTGAGGCGCCTCAAGAAACCAAGAAAATAGGACTTTTGAGGCGCCTCAAGAATCCAAGAAAATAGGACAGTTGGCGCTATTTTTGAGGCGCCTCAAGAATCCAAGAAAATAGGACAGTTGGTGCTATTTTTGAGGCGCCTCAAGAATCCAAGAAAATAGGACAGTTGGTGCTATTTCCTTTGAGACATTGGGATGTGAGCAGCAGCGACAAACCTTCCCCCCTCGCCCGCACGAGTCGCACCACTGATCTGGTCCAATGCATGCATGCATGCATGCACTGGGGAAGAAACTTACGAGGCATGGAGATCCGTGAGCAGCAGCGACAGCCCTTCCTCACTCGCCCGCACCAGCTGCCCCACTGGCGTCTTCAACGCGCACATGTCCTCCTCCCACGTCCCCTTCCCTCTCTCCTCCCCCCTCTCCCCCGCTCTCCTGTAAACCTCTCCTCTCACTCCCTCACTCCCCAATTCCGCTCCCTTCGCCTCCACACCCCCCTCCTCCCCTTTTCCCTGATCCCCCCTTCCCTCCTCCCCCTCCCCCCCTCCTCCCCCTCCCCCTCCCCCTCCCCTTCCCCTTCCCCTTCCTCCTCCCCCTCCCCTCGCGCCACGTGCAACAGCAGATCCGCCACAGTCACAGTCCCTATATACGCCTTATAAGCCGCTGCAGTAAGAGAAAGCGCGTCAGAGTCGTCAGGCAGGGCGAGTATGGGGCGAGCGGGCGAGCCAAGCGCCTGAATGAGACAGCCAATCGGAAGACAGGGAAGGAGGGAAGGGAAGAGGCAAGTATGGGGGTCGGTGGGAGGGGAGCAGAGTCGTCAGGCAGGGCGAGTATGGGGCGAGCGGGGGAGCGACGCGCCTGAGGGGACACAACAAGAGAAACGGGAAGGAAGAAGAAGAGTAGGGCGGGAGCGGGTGGGAGTAAGGGGAGGAGGAAGGGGAGGATATTTGGAAGAGGGGTGGGTGCGGATGGGGCGACGAGGCAAGCCAAGCGCCTGAAAGAGACAGTGAGGCAGGAGGCGGGGAGGGAGGGCGCAAGAAGCAGGAGGGCGGGGTGGGGGGAGGGGAGGAGGGGGGGGACTTGTCAGTCAGGTAGGGCGAGTATGGGGCGACCGGAGGACACGAGCGCCTGAAAGAGACAGTGAGGCAGGAGGCGGGGAGGGACGCGGGGAGGGACACGGGGAGGGAGGCGGGGAAGGAGGCGCGGAGGGAGACGGGGAGGGAGGCGGGAGGCGGGGAGGGAGGCGGGAGGCGGGGAGGGAAGCGGGGAGGCAGGAGGCAGGGGGGGAGAGACTTCAGGTAGGGCGAGTATGGGGCGAGCGGGCGAGCCAAGCGCGTGAAGAAATGGACAGGAGAGGGGGGAAAGGGACGGGAGGAGGGGAAGTAGGGAGGGAGGGGAGTAGGGAAGGGAAGGGAAGAGGGGGGGAGGGGGAGGCGAGGGACATTCTGCAGCCGCAGGGGGGGGGTGGGGGAAGAGTTGGATGGGAAGAGTGGGTTGGGAGGAGGACTCACCGCAGCAGCAGGGAGCGCGGTAGAGAGCACGGGAGCGCTACTAGGTCTCCTTACGGCAGATGGGACTTCCCCATCGGATGATGGTCAGCGATGGCGTTGGGGTGGGGGGCGGGGGGCTCACCGCAGCAATAAGGGGCACGGTGGAATATATAGGAGCCGCTACCAGATCCTCTCGCAACAGAGCGTCGATTGCCTCTGTACACCCACGCCCCGATAAAAGCACGCCCGTCACAAGCACATAAGGAGAAAGCACGCAAAAAGAGGGGGATAAAAGAAGAGACGAGGTGAACAGAGCAGGACTGACGGTAGAGTCGGAAAGTCCCAAGTCCGGCGCTCGGCGCTTGACGCTTGACGCTTGACGCTCGACACTCGACGGTCGATACTTGTCGCTCGACGCTAGACGCTTGACGGCTAAAGCTTGACGATTGATGCCTTGATGCTTGGAACTTGACGCTTCACGTGCGACGCTAGATAATAGGACGCTCGACGCTTGACGTTCGACGCTTGACGCTCGACGCGTACCGCCGACAGTCGCGGTTTCCGGGAATTCGACAAGGCCGAACTTGCTGCGCACGAGATCCGCTACAGTGTGCCCAGTTATAATCGCCGCCATCTTTCCCCTCTCTCCAAGCCACACAACGGGGAAGAACAAATCCCGCTGCGACCTCTGCGAGCTGTAAAAAACACTACACCGTGTTTTCTTGGAGTTACTAAAAGCATCGGCGGGCGATCTCCGAAGCACCTTCACTCAACCCCCAGCGAATGGAAGGCGCGGCGACAGGGAATTAGCCGAAATCCGGTAGAAAGGCTAGACTACCGACGGGCTTCGCGGCGGCTCTTGCTGCGGCGGATGTGGTGGTGGCAGGACGGTGGAGGGATGAGAAAGGGCGGTCGGGCTTCAGGGGGAGCAAGGTGGCGACGGGTGTGGTGGCGAACGGGTGGGGATGGATGGAGAAGGGTGGGAGAGGAGAGGAGAGAGGACAAGAAAGGCGGCTGTGTAACGCGATGGATGGATGGATGGATGGATGGATGGATGGATGGATGGATGGATGGATGGATGGATGGATGGATGGATGGATGGATGGATGGATGGATGGATGGATGGATGGATGGATGGATGGATGGATGGATGGGGAAGGAGAGTGGATGGAAGTTGTGGTGTGGGAGGAGTAGCGGCACGAAGGGCGTGTCCTAAGCGTTCGTTTTGGCCAATGATCTACCGAACCGCTGTAAATTAATATTTCATCCTTCCGAAACACATTTCACCTGACTCCACCGCAATATTTCACATTTCACTTAGGGGCTGGATTGGTCACACAAGTTCAGCTGGAACATCTTGGCTTACTGTAGGTTTATCTTCTAAACGCTTAGCTAAACAGCCAAGGTTAGGGAAGGAGGCGACGCGCGGTTCTGTACAGCATGTAACCAGCACGCTCGTGCCCAGGATGCGAAGCGCGCCACGTCAGAGGGCCACATGCTGGTGTCAGCGTCCCGTGGGAAGTTTAGAGATGTCGTGGTTTGCGGCGTGCATGACAGCAGCACTCAAAGCTACAAATCAAGAAATTGTACGCGCTACAGCTGGGCATGTTTTCGGTAATCACGTCAATAACGTACTGAATCGAACTCCTGAAAGAAGGACGAATGTTGATAAAGTATTAAAGGGAGCGGACAGACAGACCAAACTCAAGACTCAATGGTTTTGAGTTGCACTACACACGAAAAAGGGCGCGACAGAAACACGGTAACCAAAGACCCACCCGAGAGGGGCGATTTTGAGATTGGGGGTGTTGTGATATGATTCACACTTAGCATTTCTGTAAGTCGATTATCTGTAGATATTGTCGAATTCTACTGTAGAAGAGAAGTCCGTAGGATGACGTCAGCAAATAGCGCTCGTCATGAGGGCAGTCGTTTCAGTCACGCGAACAGTCGCATCCCTTCGTTATCATCTAGGGCGCTTAGCGCGATAGTGACGAATAGGTACATTAGCGAATAGGTACTTTCCTAGAGTTATAAATCCTTGTTATGTCTTTTTATTATGAACCTTGAGATTTCAACTTTGAGACTTGTCTTCCACTGAACTATATACTCAGGTTCACTCTTACAAGACTTCCGCTGTCTTACTAGTCTACCATTCCAGTAAAGATCCTAGGCCAACACTTGAGGTTTTCCAAGTGTTTGTGTTTGAAGATTCCATACTTAGTCTCAGTCAATATCGTCAGCGTTAAGTGGAATGAGTCTTGACGGATCAAGTTACAAGCGTGGAGCCACAGCTCCAAGTTCTGGCTCATTTGCCTTCTCACCTTTTGCGCAGCAGCCACAGTCGCAGCAGCAGCATCCCTTTTACATCTTCGGGCGTTCATCTGCTCAGCAACAACCACAGCAGCATCAACAGCAACCACAGCAACAACAGCAATAGCACCAACATCCACAGCAGTTTCAACAACAGCAACAGCCTCAACAACAGGGTATTATCTTTCAACAACCGAATTTACTTAACAGCACACAGGTCAAGGCTACTATACCTTTTAACAGAGTTGATTTTTATTCCTGGAGCTTCGAGTTTGGCGCAGTCCGCAGGGCTTTGGCCGTTCTTCACCGGAGAATTTACGTATCCTGTTATGGGAACACAACTGGAGCAGCAGAGTTTTTTACACGCCTCTTTCGGGGCGTATACGGTTCTTGTACAGAACTTATCACCAAAGGAGCAGCTCGGCGTCCGAACTTTTCATTCAAGCTTTACGCCAGCTGAAACTGCATGGAACCACTTAAAGGGGGTGTACATGACAAAAGATACAATAACAGTGAGTAAGATTCTTTCGCAACTGACAAGTGTGCAGATGATGACAAACGAGAATGTCATGGATTACGTCAATCGCGTCCGTACACTACGCGATCAAATGGAGAAGAGTGGGGGATACTTCCCTCGTGAGATGGATCTCACGGTCCTTCTTGCTGGCCTTTGACCAAAATGGCGACAGACGCGCGCCTTCCTTCGCATGAATTCGAACCTCTCCGAAGCTGAAATTTCTTCGTATCTACAAGCAGAGCAGCAAGATCTTGACATGCAGTCACAACGCAATCAGAAAAAGGGGATACACTGGAGTCTTTACTCCAATCCAGAACCGAAACAACGACTTTCCCCGAAGTATCCCTTCTGTCATTTCTGCAAGAAACCAGGACATACTTACCAAACCTGTCGCAGCCGCCATCAAAATCGTCGCAGCACTTCACAACCGTATCATCTTTCGCAGCAGTTACCAAAGCCACATCCACCACCGCAGCAGTCGACGTCCCAGGCGCAGCAGATGCCGAAACCACCGCAGAATACATCGTCGCCACAGCATCGACCTCCGGTTTTTGCATCTCCAATATCAGGAAAAGGGGTTTTCGGATGTGTTACAAAAGTTGATGTTTCAGAAACTGACTTTGAGACACAACTTGAAGAAAATACAAGTGCAGAGGGCATTCCCTTATCTCAAGTTTATGCTAGCCTTGCTCGAGTCATTTCATGACCCAATACTTGGTATCTTGACAGCTGTTGCGGATGGCACATGTGCTCCGCTGAAACAAGCTTCATCACCAACCAGCGTCCTCTTCGTCGACCGATACCTGTCATAGTCGCAAACGGACAAACCATTACGGAAAGATCTATTGGGAGTGTCATGCTTGAATCAGTCGACACGGGATATAAAATTACACGTTACCAACGTTCTTATCATTGCCGGACTTGGCTTCAGTCTTCTCTCCACAGCTCAACTCCTGGCACACAAGATTCGCACACAAGGGAACCGTGATACAATGGATCAGGAGTTATGGCACAACTTAACAAATACTTATCTCGGTCGTGCAGCTACTCAACATGGAGTGTCAGTTCTTCAGTTCACGGCACAGGGCACTTCTGGTGATTCTGAACGCGTCCTTGCGCTTGGTCCCTGGGATCACCCAGAAGAAACAGATGATCAACACGTGGATATTGATTTTCGAGCAACTACTGTACCAACACCTTCTCGAACTGCAACAGCCATTCTTACCGCACTGGATACTTAGAAGTTTAATACTGCCGATGAAGGAGCCAACGCTTGGCGAACGTTTTATAATACCTGCGAGGCCTTCCAAGGAACTCCAGCTCCACTTTGGGGCGAAATTAGCGGACTTGCAGCTGATGAACCCGGAATCGTCGAAGAAGCCGTGAGAATAGAAGTTGCCGAGCAGCCGAGTCTTCCAGTAGCCGTTACCGGCCCGTCTACTCACATATCAACAGAAGCAGCATTAGACGTTGCAATCACAACTACAGTAGAAACTTTAAATGTTCAGCTACCGCTTACCCGTTTTGTCGAAGGGGAGATTGACATGTCGCCAGCTCTTTCTCCTTTCATCGTTTCTTCCTTTTATACTAACGCCGACTTTTATCTGCGATCATCAGGACACAAAGCCACAGAGGAAATTTGGCATCAGCGATTAGGACATCCGTCGCAAGGGATTTTAAATCATTCAATCCGAGCAGCAGTTCTTGATAAAAACAGCCTTCTCTTATCTGACGGCATGGAGATGAAGCCGCAGTCTCGCCCGACGGTTTGCACCACGTGTCCGGTCGCCAATCTTACCCATGATCCGTTTCCGAGTCATTTTCCTGGCTCTACTCGTTACAAACTGATGCAAAAATTCTACTGCGATATTCTTAACTTACCTGAAGCAGGACCTAAACAAGAGCAGTACGTGATAACCTTCATCGAAGCATCTACTCGCTACGTTTGGACTGCAAACCTTCCTGCTCGTTATCTCGCCCATTCCGTCTTCGTCGCATGGTTCGCTGTCGCTGAACGAGAGTCTGGCGTGAAACAGCAAGAATTCCAGAGTGATGGCGCAGGGGAATAGATGAGCAACACCTTCACAGACTACCTCCAAACCCTCGGCATCAAACGGAAGCAGTCACCGCCGCATGCACATCAACAGATGGGGGTAGCGGAAAGGATGAATCGAACTCTGCAGGAGAAGATGCGTGCTCTGCTGACGCAGGCAGCCCTTCCTCCACACTTTTGGCCGTATGCGATGGACCACGCAGTGCTAATACACAACCTGCTTTCTTCCACATCACTGCCCGAGTTTTCTTCTCCGCACCTGCAGTGGACACGAACAGTGGGAAGTACCAAACTTTTACGAGTTTTTGGGTGTGTTGTACAGTTTCGTCCTCCAACTGCAGCACTCGGCAAATTTTCAGAACGGGCAAAATGGGGGGTATACCTCAGCATCGAAAAACAGTATCACGCATGGAAGATTTTGGATCTTCGTTCCAATCAAATCGTCCCTTCACGTGATTGTCTCTTCTATGAACGACTCACCTTGCCAGTTTTTCGTGCCCACCAGGCAGCAGCTGCCAACCCCGCCAGGCTGTTCGAAGGCTCGCGTGCATTTGCAAATGACGAAGCCGAAACTGATGTACAGGACGAAGCCGTATCTGAAGCCTCGGAAGCTGCTGCAACGGATATTCCCGAACCTGTTACGTCGACTGGCATCCCGGAATTTATTCCTCTCGCAGATGCTGACCCGGATGACGTTCGCGAAGTCCACCTCATTTACGAACGCGATCGTCAACAGCAGCCGATGCCCGCCGTCTCCGACGAAGCAGTTCGTGTTACACCTGACGAAATTGGGGGGGAAGAGGGAGCAGAAGAAAATTTCGCAGGTGCAAACGAAGAACGTCCGCGTTTTATAGAAACCGGCTTACAGATACTTGAACCGCAGTACAGTACAACGACAGTAAAATACCTGAACCGAAAACCGTTCGACAAGCTCTTACGAGTCCTCACCGCGAAAAAAGGCGCGAAGCCATGGACAGGGAGCTAGCAGCTCTCAAGAGTCGTGGCACATGAGAGTTAATATCGACATCAGAGGTGAAAGGAAGAAAGGTACTC